ACTCCCTGGGCCTGGCCAACCCAGAAGTCATAGACTTGACCCAGGAGTCCAGGACTCGCCCCCACAAGTTCTCAGCAAACCTGACTGGCGGGTCTAGCTTGTCCTGGCATCCTCAGTTCCTGCTGCTGGTGGCACACAGGCCAAACAAGGAAAGCCAGAGAAGGGTCCAGATAAAAACCCAGGCCAGGGCTGAGCTGGCAAGCCTTACCAGGCTAGGGATTACAAATAAATACCCCTAGGAAGTCAGAACACAGAACCCTGGGAGCCCCAGCTTTGGACTCTACTGAGTACTGGCCTCTGAAAACACTGCTTTCTCAGGAACCCAGCAGTAGCCGCCTTGTGGCCCTCCAGTTCTAAACTGCAGACACTGCCCAGTGGCACAATGTCAGAACATACTTAAACACCTTTGAAAGGTAGTTAGTTTATTGAGGTTTGTCAGGGCAAGGAAGGCAGCACACATTCTGTGGAGTGAACAGCAGGCACACACCCACGGGATGAATGCATTGTCCACACTTCTCACTCCTCCGATAAGTAGTGGCCTTTGGGGCCTGGTAAGTTCTGAACTGTGCCCATTGCTTCTTCAGGGGCCTTGGGAGACTTGAATAAGACTAGGACAACATGTCACTAGCACTCCCGCCCCCTGAAGCAGAAACCCCGGGACACTATAGCTTTCCCTACTTTAGGGAAAGAATCCTGTGATCATACTCTCCCATTGTCCAGGTGGCTCATTCCAGCTGTGCTGGCTCATCTGTCCTCGGTGTCCCCTACTTGAGCAGGAACTGCTACCTCCAGGAGCTCTGCCTCATGGGGGGAACTGTGAGAAAGACACAGGCTGAATGGGCTGAAACCAGAGCTGGGCCCTTCCTGCGGACTGGGGGTAGGGAGAGAAACATACCCTCGGGACTCAGGCTGGGCACTAGGATATGGCTCTGGGGGACTCCCTGGAGGGGCTCCTCTCTGGCTGGAGGCAGAAGGTCCTGCGGGGAAAGCAGGTCAGTTGAGAACTAGGGTGGCCCCTCGACCATCACCTCTTCCCGGAACTGCTCTGACCTGTGTGCCGGGGGTGGCTCTGTCCAGCTGTGGAGGAGGTGGTGGCAACGCAGCCCCTGTCTGCTGGATGAACTGTTGCAGGTTGCACTGTCGGAGTTCCCTGTTCAGCTCCTCCAGCTCCTGAGCCTGAGCCTGGGGGCACACGGGACCTTCAGGAACAAGACCATGACCTTCTTTCCCACATACCGCATGCTCCCTGGACTTATAATAAACTCCCAAACTGCCCAGGCAGCAGATGGGAGTGTTGACGGTTTGGCTGTGTAGCAGGCAGGGCGTGGACAGGGGTCTAGATCTCCTGGGGGCTCACCTGCAGAGCGTGCTCGGCAGCCTCCAGAGCCCGGCTCACCAGGGCCAAGGTGCCTTGCATCTCCATACTATGCCGCTCCTGGATGGCCAGGTCCTGGCGTAGGCGCTCCGTAGCAGATGCGGTGGCTGAAGGAGGGCCAGGGGCCTCAGCAGCCAGCCGAAGCTCTGCCTCCAGGGCACAGGCTTGGGCATCCAGGGCCTCCAGCCGGGCAGCGTGCTCGGCAGTAGCTGCGCTCAGTGCTTGGAGGCGTGCTTGTCCCTCGCGCTCCCTGGCTTGTTCTCTTCGCAGCTCCTGCTCCCAGAAGGCCTCATGGCCCAACTCCTCGGCATTCCTCTCTATCCTGAGTTCTAGGCCCTGCAGGTCTGCAAAGCAGTCTGGCGTGGCTCCTCCCAGAGCGGCAGGCTCAGGGATCGAGGGGTTGGGGACCAGCTTGGGACATCCTAGGTTGAAGGTCAGTGCTCTGTGTGGCTCACGGCCTGGTGCTGCCCATGGCTTCGGGGGGAGGCTGGCCCGAACTGGGCATCGTTCCGGGGGTGGACAGTTGTCAGAGGAGGGCCTTGCAGACAGGCTGGGCCCTGTCCGCCTCAGGACAAACTGGACATCACTGGCAAACTGTCCACAGGTGGCCTGGGCTCCTACTGGGCACTCCTGTGGCAGCAGCTGCCGTTCCTTCTCCCTAAGACGCTGCACAAGGACAAAGCGGCCTGTCTGGCCTGCGGGGGGAAGACAGGGTCAGTCCATATCACCCCTCTCTATCCACCTGGCTGGAGGAATAAAAGGGCGGAGCCAACCCCACCCTCCTGGGAGGGAAGACAGGGCTGGACTCCAGCGCCCCCCCTCCCCCTCCCTGGGGAACTCACCTATGGCTTGAGCTAGCGCGATGACCACTTCTTGGCAGGTGGTCTGTTCTGAGACCCCACAGACCACCCGCTGGATGCCATCCACCCACACCTTCAGCTCCATGACCACAAGCTCCAAGACCATCCCTGTCCTGTGGGGAGGACACAGGCCATACGATCAGGCCAGGCCTGCCTCCATCACAGTCTGGCCTTCCTCTTCTCTTGGTTTGCCACAACAGACTTAGGACTGTGGTCCTTCAGCCCTGCCCTCCTGTGCCCAGCCCCACCCGCAGGCCACACATTCCTGGAGTGGCAGGGGAACTAGTTTGGCCCTCCTGAGCATTTTGAGGCGTCCCCTCCTGCACCAGCCTCCTCTTGCCCCACCCACCCCACTCCAGGAACAGGGCAAATTATTAACCAGGTCCAAGTTTTCCTGTCCCCCGGTCACCTGGCTCAAGGGCCACTCACTACGCTTTTCACGCAGGCGGCTGTCCCCAGGCACCTAACACCGACCATACGCAAATACGACGCCGTCCACAGTCATGGGAACGCCCCCCCCAACCCCCCAGGGAAGGAACAGTCTCAGGCCGGGAGGAGCTGAGAGTTACGACCCAGACAGACCTCCATCTCCGAACCGACCCCAGACCTGAGCAGCCCCCCCGCCAGTCCCTGGTCCGCCTCTGCAGTCCCTCCCGTCCAGCCAGCACTTTGGGCTCCAGTGGTCCCGCCCCGCTGGGGGCACACAGCCCGCCTCACGGCTGATCCCGGCCGCGCGGGATCCAGACGTCCCCACTCCGCAGCTGGCAGACGCAGGTGCAGCACAGCCACTGCGCGCCCCTTCGCCCAGATCCGCTTCTCCCGGGACGGAGACGGCTCCCGGGTGCCGCGCCCAGTGCTCAGGAGGCTCGAGAACCCGGCACAGCTCACCTGGGCGCCCGCTGGCCTCCGGGACGTAGGCGCGCCAGCGCCGCCTCAACCTGCTGTCCCAGCGCTGCGGCGCGCCCAACCTCACGGCCTCATTGGCTCGCGGCCCGCACGCCCCGCCCCACGACACCCCATTAGATCGGAGGCGTGTGCATCCCGCCCCATGCCCACTCCCATTGGCGGCCTTCCGCCCACCACGCCCCATTGGCTCGTTACTCGGTCCCGCCCGCAGGCATCCAGGTGTGGGCGGGGCCCTGAGTGGGTAAGGGCAGGACCCGGGCGCCGGGGATGCTCACCGCCGGTGATCGACGCGGAAGCGCGTCGGCAGCTGCGTTCGCTCTGGCCTGGTTAGCCCAGGTGTGTTCCCAGCTCCAGAGCGGACTTCCTCAACAGACTTTCAGTGTGACTGGTCTCCGCCCACCGAGAGGGACCCTGACTGGAACCCGGCCACTCTGACATGTACCCGAGCGCAACATTCGCCCTCCCTTCACCAGCCCCGTAGGCTAGGCCGCTTCATCCCCGCTTTCTTAGGAATCTGTAGCCGAGAACACCAGTTAGAGAGGACGTGAATGTCTCCCGCCTGCCATCCGAGGGAGGTGGAGTTTAGGGGCCGGCTGACCTGGTGGGCTCTGTAGCCCTGGTGGGGGAGGGGACCGTTCCTGAGGCTGCCTGCGACAAAGACCCTGGGGTCTTTGTCTGAAGCTCCATCCTCTCCCCTCCCCCAGTGGGCCCAGTGCCCTCCAGAGCAGCCCTAATCTCCCTGAAGCGGGCCCCTGCCTTAACGTCTTCCCTGTGTCTCAATGGGCGAAATCGAGCCAGTCCAGCCCCACGTGCTCTGTCCCAATCACAGAGCTGTGGGAGGGGGTGCCCACGCTCTTGTGGCCATAAGGAAACAAATGTTGGAAGTATGAAGCTGTGGAAGAGACAAGGTAGAAGGAGCCTCTTCTGGGCCTCACTTCTGTTCTGAAGCAGAAGCAATGTCCCTCCCCCAGGGTTCACCAGTGGAACCACCATTGGGAGAGCCCAGAGGTACAGAGATAGACCCAGGAAGATAAGGCTCCCAAGGGTTAGGTAGATGGCTATCAGACAGGCTCATTTATAGGCTAGAGTTAGCACAGCCACTCCAGTCTCTTACCACCATCCTCAGCTGCTCCCTTAATCATCTCAGATCCCTAGGACCATTTACACACTTACCACACACACACACACACACACACACACACACACACACACACATTCAGTTCACTCACAGGACACCATTCCCCAGTACCTGCCTATCACCACTGCCTAGGGATGGGTTCCAGGGATCTGTTTAGTTCCCTGGACCTCAGCTTAGCTGAGCTTACGTATCTAAACCTCACTGGCACAGAATGCACTCATGGCCCTGCGTCTCCCTGGAGGCTCCTGGTAACAGACACCCTCCCCCCAGGTGCAGAAATCCATGGCAACAGTATAGAACGCTTCCCTCTCTAGGCCTTCTGTGGGTTTAGGCCTCAGGTGAGTGTGGGGGTGAGTTTCTGGTTTGGAGGCACATGGATAAGGGTTATAGGCAAAAGCTTAGCACCTCCGATCTTAGCTCTAGGCTGAGCTCTAGGGGGACAAAGAGGAGACAGCAGGGAATATATGTACATACTTGGGACATGCTTCCTGGGAGGTGACCTGCTGTCCTAGCCTGAAACATACAGAGGAAGACACTCATATGACCAGCAGTCCTGTGTCCTGTTGGGTAGGCACATGTGTAGATCCCCTCAGAGAGAGCTGGCAAATGCTGCCTGGGCCTCTCTGACACCCAAAGGGAGCCCCATGAGTTTCCCACAGCTGGGACACGGGGCAGATTCCATCCTACCTCCTTCCTTTCCAGCTCCTGACCAACATCGAGCATGGCCCCTAAGTCTTGCCAGGAGTCTGAAGATGAGCAGGTGTCCCCAGCTCCAGCAGGTGTAAAGCCAGACAGCAGTGACTTCGAGTCCCCAGTTGGCACACCTGGGGACACAGTGGCTCCTTCGCGTTCCCAGAGCAGTAAGCCCTACTGCGCATCCATACCAGCAGGCTGCTCTTTCAAGCAGCAGTAAGGAGGCAGGGGATGGGGCAGCCTCCTGGGTTGGGCCAGCCAAAGAACCAGCCCTGATCAAACCACATGGAACTGGAATTACAGGTTAGCCCCTGAAACCCTGGACCCACGTACCCTGCGGCTGTTATGGGAACAGAGAGAACTAGAGATCCAGGCACTTCGGTGGGCTGTCCAGAATAGCCAGAATGCCCGATACTACTACATCCTGCAGGAGGTGGCAGGGATTCCCGCTGAGCGGTCAGTGGCGAAACCCCCAGGCCAACCCAGGTCCTACCCTGCCCTTTCTGTCTGACGCCAACCTCTACCCCTGAGCCCTCGACCTGACTGCTGCTATCTGTAGTCTTTGCATGATTTGACACCCCACTGTACTTTTGAATAAGTTACTGTGTTGGAAATGTAACCCTACCCCTGAGCATGTAGACCTCTGCCCAGACCTGTTAGGGTTTATTCTGCCCTGGCCTGCTATAATGTGTGCCTTCAGGCTTTGGTGGCTGTGGGGCATCCTTTACTGCTGACCTTCTCTCAGGAATCCTGGCCTGATCCAGAAGGGCTGAGATTGCCCCTCCTACCAGGCACTCCAAAAATCAAGACAAATTCCTGCAGAACCAGGTCCAGAAGCTTACGCTGGAGCTGAAAGCCCAGAAGGAACACGCTCAGCTGGTGAGGGCATGGGATCAGGGAACAGGGCAATGCCTCGGCAGACAGCAGCTACCCACCTAAGGTTGGCCTGAAGGGAGGGGCTGCTGGAGGCCTCTCTCACTGGCAGGCATTCTTGATCAGGAGAAAGAGCAGTTGGAGGAGAAACTTCGCCAGAACCACTGTACAATGCAGCAGATGGAGGCTGAGCTGCAGACCTTCGAGAAATCATGCCTTCTACAGCTGGCCCGTTCCTCTTGGGTGGGACGTGTGATTCGGTCTCAGACTGGCAGTGTAGAGGTGAGTTTGTGCCCGTGGCCCAATACCTTTCAGACAACCTCCCCCTCCCCCACAACACTCCTTGGGCAGCCAGCATGCTTGAGAAACCTTGTCTTCCTTGGGATGTTTCCACAAGAAGGAATCATATATATGACCAGCATCCTCCTCATCTAGTTCACATAAAGTGCTGTTAAAGTCAAAAGTGAGAGGCCCTGTTGGGGAAGGGTGTCCTCCCTCAAGTTCCCTGCCAGCTAGTCTGTGGTTCCCTCCTCCTCTTCTTCTTCTTTTTTTTTTAATTATTTATTTTTATTTTTTATGCATTGGTGTTTTGCCTACATATATGCCTGTGTGAGGGTGCTGGATCCTCTAGAACTGGAGTTATAGACAATTGTGAGCTTCCATGTGGGTGCTGGGAATTGAACCTGGGTCCTCTGGAAGAGCAGCCAGCACTCTGAACCTCTGAGCCATCTCTCCAGCCCCCTGTGTTTCCTTCTTTCAGGTGGTTACTGCAGAGGTTCTAAGAGACCCTACTGAGTCCTCTGATTATGTTGAGGTTCCCTCTGGCACGGAGGTGAGCAAGGCTAGCCACAGGAGGCATTCCATGTGTATGATAAGGTCTCTCAAGCCCTGCAAGGTCGGGGAGGCACATACCTCTTTTTTTCCTGCTAGGGTTTCCGATTGGAGGATGTAGATTGGAACAGCGTTGCCCAACGATATCCCAACCTCTTCTCCAACATGAGTTTCCACTCAGAACAAAAGTAACTGCATTGAACAGGGAGTTCCCAGGGGTCAGGGGAAGGGAGGATTTGGCTTGACAGAAGTGGACCAGTTCCCATTGTATCCTTAAGTGTTCCCAGACAAGTCATGTAACCCCTTCAAGCCTCAGCTCTGATATGTAATATGTGGAATGGGTTCAAGACAAGGGGAGGAGCTCCGAGGTCACCATTACCTTCATTAATTTACCATAAGCTGGGTCTGACTCTGGAGTTCCTGGAACACAAACCAGGGTACCCATTGCCTTGGGGAGGCAAACTGGGGTGGGAGGCATGGGTCCTGGGTTTAGGAGCCAAAGCAGCCAGTGAACATATCATGGTCCCAGGCTGATCCAGCCCCACCCGTCCCCCGATATGGATACCTGGGACTCGGAGTGCGCCATCAAGTCTATGGAGAAGCCTGGCAAAATCCTGGAGTGGAGCGCCTTGCCTTTGGTAGACTCCAGCAGCTCAGACTCTGACTCTAACAGCTACCAGATAGTTCTGCATTCTGGAACAAAGAAGGTGTCGGGCCACCCGGCCCAGGGAACAGATTTAGCTGCTTCAGAGCAGATTCAGGAGTGCACTGGGAGCTTCAGTGGACACATGGAAGGTGGAGTTGGGTGCATCTCCCTTTCGCCCTTGAGCAAGCTCTCACCTCTGCCCAAAGTCCTACTCAGGTTCTTCAGCCCCCACGGTCCAGCTGCTTCTGCCCCGGATCTGAACCCTGCTGCCGTCTCCCTGTTATGCAGACCCCTGGTCGGGCCTCCTGGGGAACTGCCCTACTGGACCCTTTATTGTGTTCTCCTTCCCCTAAAGGACTTCTTTTTCTAGATCCCCATAAGAGGCGCTCAGCGTCGTTTAGCAAGACTGTTCTGGAGTCCTGTACAGACCTTCACCACCAGTATGCAAGGCCCCAGTTGAAGTGAGAGCTGCCCAGCCATGAGCACACCAAAAAAAGCAGGGAGGGCTGCGTTGTGGGCGGGCTTTCTGGGTGGGTAGGGCCCTCTTCCTTACCCAGCCTTCCTTTCTGTCCAGCCTGCTTGGCTGCTCCTTGAAGATCGCTGCGGTCAGCCACCGAGAGAAGTTCATCCGCATCCTCAACCAGTCTCAGGCCGAGACCGTGGACCTGGGTGGCTTTGTTCTGAAGCAGCTTGTGAGGGACTTCCCTGTGTGCATGTACCGATTCCCGCCTGGTACTCTGCTGGCCCCACAGCACCACATCACGGTGAACCCTTGCTGCCTGCCAGCTCAAACTGTCTTGCCCCAGCCTACACTGTTCCTCCCTTACCACCCAGCCTTTTCCTAGGTATGGGGCGAAGGAACCAGCAGGACCAAGAAGAAGCTGCCGGTGTCCTCGGGCCAGGACCCCTTCTACTTCCAGTCCAGTCGCGGCTGTGTGACAATGCTGGTCAACCCTCAAGGCCAGGTCAGTGCTGGTCCTGGCTAAGGAGCCGAGGAGCCGACCTGACTGGGTTAGCGTTAACCACACACCCCGATGGCCTTGCAGGTCCTCAGTGAGCATCAAGCTGCACCCTGCATGACCCTGGGCTCGAAGATCTTCAAAGACAACACTGACTGGTCCATTGACCGCTTCCCGCTCTCAGAGTCCGAGCCCAACACTGACCCTGGCGAAGAGCAGCATCGATCTCCATCCCCACACAAGGGCAGGGTGCGGGGTGCTGGGGCCAGGCGCAAGAAGCCGGGGTAGGTGCAAGCCCCTGATTCTGCCTCTCGAAACCCATCCCCTATTTTCCTAGGCGTCGCCTTGGACAGGACTACTGCCCTGGCCCATACCGTCTTGCATTACACCCGCCTTTGCCCCGATTGACTAGGATACTCCTCAGGCCCCTCCCACATCTCCAGGCCAGGTGTCCGCCAGCAAAGGCTCTCCCGCACCAGCACTAGCGGACAGAGGACTTCAGGATCTCTCCGCCCCAACGAGACGCGGGATATCTTGCCGCTCCTGAGCACCCGCAAGCTTCTTTGCCCTGGGGAAGTTCCTGCACAGCAGGAAGGGGTGAAGACCGAGACATCTGAACTCCTGCCTGCGATCCCAGAGTGTGCCTCAAGAATGTGCCTAGAGGACTCGCTGGGTAGGCAGGAGCAGCGCAAGGTCCAGGTGAGTGTGGTGCTGTGGCCCCAGGTCCTCTGGTCTGCCGGCCCACGACGTTCTCAGGCCCCAATGTTTTCTGCAGGTGTGCCGGAAGAGCGTGGACCTGAGCTGCCCCATGGTGGCCCTGTCAGTGCAGAGCACGGCCGAGAGCAGATATGGCTTCCGCTTCCTCTGCTACCCGCCCATCACTGAGGATTTGTCCCGGCGGTTGTAGGGCAGCCAGGCCCGGCAGGCAGTGCCAGCTGCATAATTTATTGAACCAACCGTTGCTTACAAAGTAAAGCACATTTCTGCACACTTGAGAGTCGAAAATGATTCACTTGGCTTTCACAGAGGGTCTATGGTGTCCCGAGAGAAAGGAACTGCCCCGCATAGGGAAACCTGCAAATCCACCCAGGATGGCTGTGCCCTTTGGAGGCTAAGAACAAGCAGGCTTGGAACTTGGGTCACATAGGTGAACCAGAGTCCTGGGGCATCCAAAGAGCCCAGCCCCAGTCCCAGCCACTTCAGCCTTGGTCCCATCCAGGCCAAGAGAGGGTTACGCTAAGGGAGAGAATGGGCTGGAGGGATTGGGTTCAGGTGATGGAGGCAATGGAGGCCTGGAGAGCAAGCTGCCGGACCTAGTGCTGGCTGTGGGTCTGGACATCCCTGGACTCGATGGCTGGGACCTGAGGACACCTCCAGGGCTCTCAGGGCGGTCACTGCAGCCAAACTCTCACCCAGGCCAGACCCCTCACCCAGGCTAGGCCCTAAGCTCCCCAGGACTCTAAGCCTACGCCCTCTGAAGGGCAGGTTTGCAGGTCTCCCCAAGGAGCTGCTGCCTGACTCAGGAGGCATTGGGTACTTCGGGGGAGAAGGGATCAGGTGAAAGCCCGATGTCCTGGAAAGTTCTAGAAAGCAAGGAAGAAAACAGCATGTCAGAGGGGACCTGGCAGGCAAGGTGGGGAGTTACTAGCCGCTGCCCACCCATCATCTTGTAGCCCGGAGATGGTGGCAGGCTGTGGACAGTGCGGCCACAGGTAGAGAGGCTCGGTGGCCTTTGCTGAACCTGTTCCATTAGACCGCATCCCTTTGCTCGGCCTCATCTGCTTTCCAGAGGAAATGTGGCTTCAGCCCTGTGCCTATCTCTAGGGTAGTGGGTTCTCAACACCTGAGGGTCACCATCCCCACAGGGGTCGTGTATCAGACATCCTGCATATCAGATATTTACATTATGATTCTTTTTTTTTTTTTTTTTTTTTTGGTTTTTTTTTGAGACAGGGTTTCTCTGTGTAGCTTTGCGCCTTTCCTAGGACTCACTTGGTAGCCCAGGCTGGCCTCGAACTCACAGAGATCCGCCTGGCTCTGCCTCCCGAGTGCTGGGATTAAAGGCGTGCGCCACCACCGCCCGGCCTTACATTATGATTCTTAACACTGGCAAAATTACAGTTATGAAGTAGCAAGGAAATAATTGTATGGTTGGGGGTCACCACAACATGAGGAACTGTGTTAAAGGGTCACAGCGTTAGCACGGTTGAGAACCCCTGCTCTAAGGCAAACCAAGTGGCTGGGCTCTGGCTCTGGGTCATGTGAGCTCCATTCTTGAGAATGTGTTCATCCCTGAGGGCCTGGGAGCTCCAGGCTAGTTCTTAAGCTTCTGTGATAGTGTAAGGTGGGTGGCTAGGGTCATCCAGTGCCTTCTAGGCCTGGCATCTGTAGCAAGAGGGGTAGACAGCATTCCAGCCAACTCTCTGCTGGTCACCTTCCTACTGTTCTTTAACCCGCCCAATTCTTGTCCACTGGAGGACCAGCTGTTGGTCCTGCTTTATTCTCAGGACCCTCTTCCCGCCCACTGCCTCAAGCGTTAGCCAGTCTCCACAGGGGCAAAAGTGTGGTTGTTTGGTCCTTCAGAGAGGGTGGTTGGCAACCTTTATGCCATCAGTCTTTTTGTCCACGCCCACGGTGTGCCTTTCTAAGGCATTGCTGGGTAAGGGTCTCTCCAGTGAAGCAGCAGTCGCTCTGGCTTCCTTGGAAAGGGTTCTACCTGGCTTCATTCTGCATCCCTATGCCAGCACAGGCCAGTCCTGCCTGGGTTGAAGCCACTGAATGCTCCTAACCTCCTCTGCCTTGGTATCCTGGTGGTTTTGCTGGCCACTTTCCTACCCCTGGATTCCTTCCAGGTTCTCCTGACAACTGGTGTCTGCTTCTGGATCCCTTGGCCACCGTGAGGCTCCTAACAGGTGCTTGCCTCTGGACTTGCCCTGTATCTTTTGTGGAATGCCTCCCTCTCTCATTTAGCCCAGGTGCCCTTGAGGTGTCCTTGGTATGGAGGAGAAGCTGGGATTGACCATCCATAGGCAGTGAAACCCTCCCACCCCTACTCCGCCAAGAAGAGGACTGTCTCACGCAGCCCCTCCCAGAGCCTGGCAAAGGAAGGGGCTGAACTATATATACTACACTGGTCTGAGGTGGGGACATCCATACCCAGGTGGTGGGGGTCAGGTTACTCTCAGGCACTGAGGTAGTGTACCTGAGGTCAGGCGTGGGGGGGTTAGGGAAGTCTTTGGTCCAGTCTGGTCTTCCTGTTCTTCAGAAGCCCTCTGTGGGTCCTGAGCTGGAGCCTGAGCAAGCCTTTCCTGCTGGAACTCCAGCTGCCTGTGGAGGAGGGGACTGAGGTGGAGAAGGCAGAGCTGCAACCACGTCTGTCTCAGACCCAGTCCCAAATGGTCATCACACTGGGATGGATCTCTGTGGCCATCTCGGGGGACCAATGGCTGCTCAGCCAATGCAGCTTCCAGCCCAGCTCCCACCCCCCAGAGACAAGACAAAAGGTGGTAGGCTGGCAGGGTGAGGGGCACCAACCGCAGGCCAGGCTCCCTCCAGGCCCGAAGCCCAGTCACGGCCAGGTCACAGCTTTCTGCAGGGTCAGGCCTTGGGGTGGAGGGGCTGGTGGCCAGATCAGGCCTATGTGGGGGCAGCTGCTCCAGGGGTGCCCATTCCTAGGAAGGGAAAGGGCTGGTATAGGGACCCTGACCCTGGAATGGGAGAGCCAGAGTATGGACATGGCAGCAGTCCTGAACACTGATGTATGGTGGGGGAAGGACTCTAGGTAATAGTCTCCTGTGGGGTGAGGGGCAATAGGTGATGGTCTACTTTGGGAAGGAGAGCTGTAGTCCTAGCCCACTTTGGAGTGTGGGGAAGGCATACCTGGTACTGGTATCTACGTTCCCGCAGGCCTTTGGTGGGGTTCCCACAGAGAACTTGACCAGCACCTGAAGAAGAGGGTGTGGCTATGCCTGGTTTGGGGTCAAGGTACTGCAGGGTCAGCTCTGGGCCAAATAGGTTCAGTTACCATGGGTGAGGTTGCTGGCATGGTCTTCTGTGGCCGGGTTCTCAGAAAGCAGACCTTCAGGCAAGGGGACCTCAGGGAGCAGCAGGGACAGAGCCCATGGCTGGGTCTCAGGCACAGGCAAGGTTGGGTCAAGTTTCCGTAGGGTGGTTCCATGGGAACAATCTGTCCAGGGTCAGATCCAGAGATCACTGGGCTCATGCCAGCCAGCATGTTTCAAACTCAGACCACAGAACACAGCCCTGTCCCTCAACAAGTTGTGTGACCTAGGGGCTGGCCTGTGATGGTTCCTTTTCCTTCCAGAAAGACCCTCAGCCTCAGACCCCCCTCTCCCTCAATGTAGGAAAGGGGAAGCAAGCTGGTGCTGCTAATGGGAATATGCTGACCCCCTGGGGCCAATCTGCATGGTTCTGGGACTAGGAGATAAGGCTGGAAAAGGGAACAAAATGCAGACACCCATCTCTACAAGGCCTGGGGAACTAGTGGAGGTCTTTTTTCCTGGGGATGAAGGAGGCCTGTCCTCTTGGGGTACTGGTAGAAGCCTGTCTTCCTGGAGGGCTGGAGGAGGTCTCTTCCAGAGTCAGGGGTTAGGGCTTAGTATCGAGGTCCATACCCAGCCTACCCAGCCGAGGGAGGAGAATGTCAAGCACGCTGCCTTCCTTGATGGCCTCCTTCACCATCAGCCAGTCCTGGTTCAGCTTGTGGGGAGCAGGCAGGTTGGTGCATGTGGTGGGGACCTCATCTAGGATGTGGAGCTGGGGGATAAGCTTCTTTACCTCTGCCCTATAGTTGTAGTCCTGGGGTGCCTAAAGGGTAGAGGGAGGGGGACAGCAGACCTGGGTCTGGTGGGCCCTGCAGACCAGCTGTTTCCTGGGACTTCCTCTTCCAGACTGCGATGGTGCAGGACAGAGGACACAGGGTAGTGATGCTGCCTCATCCTACCGTAGCCTATGGGTACCCTCACCCCCCAAGCCCATAGCCAAGGTTCAGGGATGCCCTCTAGCATGTGGAACTGATTATAGGCCAACATCAAACAGGTATTGAGGTGGACAGTGAGGTTAGAGCATGCATGGCCTTTGTGAGTGCATGTGGATTTACCTGCTGCAAAGGAGCTTACATATGCCTGATATATCCAAACAGTTAGGCTCTGTTTAGGCGTCCCGTGACAGAAGAGATAGCTCTGTCTCACAGACAACAAGCCAGAAGGTGCATGTGGGCACAGAGGTCCCCATTCGGGAGGGGAGGTCCCTCCCAGATATATGCTGCCTGGGTGTTCAGCACCCACACCTTGTTGGAAGGGTCGGGGTCTGGCTTCAAGCACACCAGATTCCCCTCCAATGTGAGCGTGGCCAGGCGTGGGCACAGCTGCAGGTACCGCATCTGCCCCAGGTCTTCCACATTGTTGCCCTCAAGGTCCAGCACCTCCAGCTGCTCGAGCAGGCACAGTGGGCTCAGGTCTGAGATGTTGTTGTAGGAGACATAAAGTTCCTGAGGACCACATGGGGGAATCTCAGCTGGGGTCTAACTTGATCCCCGGTCCTTGACCCCAAGTGCTACGGACTTACCTTCAGTGCCAAGAAGGAGCCAATGCCATCCAAATCAGTCAGGCCACAACGAGCCAGCCACAGCACCTGCAGGTGGCCCAGAGAAGTGCCCAGGTCTCTGCAGAAGGCAGGCAGAGTGGTGTGATGGTTAATCTTCAGTGCCAACTTGACTGGCTTTAGCATCACTTAGGAGACACATTTGGAGCATGTGTCTATGAAGGCGTTTCTAGAAAGGTTTAACTGAGGAGGGAAAATCCACCCTGAATGTGGGTGGCATCTCCTCATGGGCAAGGATCCTGAAGAAAATGGAATAGGGAAAGGAGAAAGCCAGGTGATGGCTGGCACTCCCTTGTCTCTCTCTTCTGATCTGCCTAGGTGTGAGCAAGCTTCCACTCCACAGCTAGGAGCTGCTCATGCTGTCAGGCCTT